AAAGATGGTGTGCATTTTACTAATTACACTCAAACTCGAGTTCCCTTTTATTTTTTTTTCATTTATCAAAATTCAATGGCAGATGATGATGGTAAAATCGGAGTTTTATTATTTATTTGAAAAAAAAATGCAATAATAGTTTATACCCATAAAGGGGGCGATGTAAATGCCATCCAAGTAATTGATGAGGTCACACAAGATAAAGTATATATTTTTTATTTAACTAATTTTATTAATAATATAATTATATTATTTTTATGTCGCCCTAACAATATTTTTGGGTGGGGCATAACCATGGCACATATATGGCTTGTACTTTTCCCAAGTGCTTCAATATTGTGTTCACTATTACAATGCTGTGGCCCATCAAAGATATCTCAATCATCAGTCCTCTACCATATGATGTATGTTGTCCCAAGTTAGGAATTACAATCCCTCTACACATGTATAATTTTTACTAATATATTTAACATATTAAAATACCAACTATATTATATTAATTGTTTTATTTCTATAAATCACCTCAAATTTTATATTGATTGAATATATAATTAATATCATGTCAAGCAATTAAAGAAAAACTAATCGAACTAAAATATAATATGGGTTATTTAACTCATAATTAAAAATTTTCAATTTAAAATATATATTTTACTAATTGAGTTATTAAATTAAATCTGTTAACTTATATATTTACAAATGATGATGGAATCACCGCATCCCATGGAGAAAAACAAGGTTGCCCACAACAAAGTTCAATAGAGACATTTAAAGTGAGCTCCATGAAATCTAAGTTTGAGGAGCCCCAAAAGCTAAAAAGAATTCTTAGAAAGAAAAAGAAGGAAAAGGACATGGGAAGCTTTAGCACTAATAATGAGCTGATGCATTATCAAAATAATAATAATAATAATAATAAGCTAGGGCACTTGTATGTCTAGCTTGCTTTCTTGGGTTGATGGGGTTGGAACTTCATGCCTTACACCCATCTCCATCTCTTCTGCTTCATAAGTTGAGTGAACTCCATACAACACATAGAACAAGGTTATCAAGCATGCCCATATCCCAAACACCTTGAAAGATAAAATATTTAGTGTTGTCATGAGGAAGACATTAAGGAAAATGGATATGGCTGCTGGCCACGGCATCAAAGGTACAGACCACTGCTGACTAAGGCGGCAAGGCACCATGTAGTGGAAGCCGGCTGTGGTGGCAATAATGACCCCTCCAAACAGTGGCAAACCCCACCATTGATTTTTCAGGTTGTGTGATATTGAGAAGCCAATGGCACTGGAGGAGAGGAGGAAGAGGAAAATTAGAATGTGCAAGGGAGGATTGTTGCTTGTTATTGCATATCTATGATAAATAAGAGCATTTGCCACCAAGTAGAACACAAGTAGGGTGCCGAGGTTGATGATTTGAAACACTATGCCGAGGTCCATGAAGAGTGCAATGGATGCTGTGCAAAACCCTACACATCATGGAGTAATTATTTCAGCTGAAAAAATGAAAGAGAAATAAAACTTTTTAACAGTTCTAACCGGATTTTAGGTCTACCTATCCCGTTTACTTAAGTCTAAGAGGAGCTTAAAAGTTGGAAATTTGATCACATACCCAAGAAGAGAGTGGCATTCAAAGGGGTGCCTGTGGAAGGATGAACCTTGGACAACCAAGATGGGACCAACCTGGCCCTTCCCATAACACAAAGGTACCTTGCTTGGCCTAGCATGGCAACCAGCAGAGAAGCCACAATGCCGAAGCTTGCTCCAGCCCCAACAACATTCCCTGCCCACTCCCACCCAATCTTCTTGAAAGCCTCTGAATATGATGCATCTTTTGATATCTATTTTTGATCATATATATGATCAATGCCATATATGAATATCATAAGTAACCTTGTTCAAATTACATTTTTTTAAAAAAAATTTATTTGGTTAAGTTTGGATGAACTAACCTCATCGTAAGGAATCATCACACACAAAGACAAGGCCATGAGGCAGTAAAGTGCTGAAACAATGAGGACAGAACCAACGATACCCACAGGGAGGCTCACTGAAGGGTTCTGAATCTCTTCAGCCATGGTTGAAACCGAGTCATAACCAATATAGCTTAAGTAAACTTGAGCTGCCCCATCAAGCATGCCTCTAGCTCCATTAGGGGTTAGCCCTCTTGGCTTCACCAAATTACTTGCACTCCCATTGGAGAACCCAACAATTATAATGAATCCAAAGAAAACCACATGAAAGACTGTCATAATAGAGTTCAAGGTTGAGCTTTCCTTTGTACTGCATTAATCCCAACAAATCCATCACTTACAAAATTGATAGGAGAAAAGCAAGATAACTATCTCTCGTCTTTCAATAACCAAAAATATATATATATATTAAGAAAAAGTAATAAATCAAACAAAAATGCACTGAAATATATATAGATGCAAATATCACTAATCACTTTAAGTGCCATTCATCAAAACCACAAATAAACTGCCCTACTGACCATTTTCTGTTGATATACACACACATATATTATGCAGTTAACGGAAACCTGTCAGCACTAGAATTAATACCAATAGATGGCAAAGACTATTTAACGATGATCAAGTAGGAGGCAAAGTGGATGTAAGAGATCAAACCTATAGCATAAACAGATAGTTAGAAGAAGAATAAGCATGACGGCTGGGAGATCCAGATGATTGTAGCCCTCTACTAATCCATCCACTTTCACTCTCCAGCAACTTTTATCTTCAACTCCAAAGGCAGAGCATAAGTATTCAGTAAAGGTTCTTGCCACAGCAGCGTTTGATAATACATATTCCATCAGTATGTTTGCTCCAGCAAAATACCCCACAAATTCTCCTGTATTAGTCAGGGGAAAGAAAGGATTGGAAAATGGAATAGTGAAATATTAATGCAATATGGAAAACACATGGTCAAAAAAAAAAAAAAATGGAGAGAATAATAGTTACTGCAATGATATAAATACCAAAGGTTACTCTTAGGAAACTGAAGGCACCACCAGCAACAGGAATCTGAACAGAAAATTCAGTGTAGCACAAAGAGGAGAGAAGTGCTGATAACCCAGCAATAACATAAGATATGAAGACTGAGGGGCCAGAGACTTCCCGGGCAACACGACCAGTGGTGACAAAAACACCAACACCAAGCATTCCACCGACACCAAGAGCTACCAGATCATACAACTTGAGTTTCCTCTTCATATCAGCACCAGACCTTAGTCTTACTTGGTTGAGCTCTTGGGCTGGGGTCCATGTTGCTAGCATTCTCCTCCTAAGTCTGTGAGGGGTTTGAGAGAGGGACTGCAGATAGTTAATAAAGGAAATGTTACTGTGTGCAGACTGATTGGTTGCCATGGGAAGAACAAAGAGAGTGTTTTGTGGCTTTTCCATGGGAAATTGAGGGAGGGTATAAATATGCATTTGGGGCGGGGAGTGGGGAGAGGGTATATTGCTATATTCTTTTTTCTTCCTAAAGGTTGATAGAGAACCAAGTTGGTGTCCCTTGGATACACTGAAAATACATAGTTGTCCTTCAGTTTCTAACTGACAATAATACCCTTCTCAAGCAGACACCTTTTTAGAGCCCAAGACTGCCAAAAGGAGTTCTTCTAGGTTGAAGAAACAAGAAATAAAAAGGGTTAGCCATTTTGAAATTATGACCTTGTGAGAGGAATCAAAATCAAAATGTGAGAGGACTGAGGGAGGAGACTTTGGCATAATCTTTTGAAATTTCTTCATCTAAAAATTTTTTAAAGGATGTGACAAGCATCCCAAGCATCTTTGTTTAAGAAAGTAAAGAGATTTTTTTTCTGAGTCTTGACGTTAACGGGACCTGATTCCTCAACAGAATATATGTCACAGCTTTGTAGTGATCATAAACCGTTGTATTTGTACAATGTAAGTCTTCTACCGGAATATCCTCAGAGATTCAGAGTTAAACATGCGTACATGCAATATGTAATACTCAAGATGATGAAAATATATATTTTTTAAAACCCTGCAATATATTTAGGTTTTGTAAAAGGTGATTATCGAAGATTGTCCCCAGCAAAGGCCAAAAAAAAAAAAGGTATGTCCCTAGCTGCTCATGAAGTGATCACTTTTACTAGTATAGAAACACACACACACACACACAAGGCAGGAAATGAAATAAAGAGATTTTTTAATCTCACTACCTCCGTTAAAGCAGGAGGAGGGCAAAAACAAGCATAAACAAATGCAACCTAGTTCTTTTCCATTTTTTTTTTTAATAAATATTTTAGAGGATAATTAGCTGTCATAAGAAAAGGGTGAAAATATAACAGCACTGAACAAGTATTGGAAGTCAAGAAGTTTCACACCTCTAGTATGGTTTTTAAGTCCAACGATTCTCTACTTCTTTGGTGAAGTGAATATTTTCTACAATTATCCTCAAGAATAATATCACTATCAGCCAGCCAATGCTATTGATTCGTATAATAAACCTCGAGAATATATCAATTGCCAACCCTTAGAGTTAATCTATCAAGATTTGGTTTAATCTTCTTGGTCCGTTCCTGCTTTTAGCCTAGTGATTTCATTAGCTCTGTAGGGTACCTTTGACTTTTGTTGCCATCCTTTGTTCAATCTGAGAGCATCTTGGTTTCAGCTGTACTCCCATTTTAGGAGTTGAGTTGATAAGCCTAACTTTCAATAAAGCAATGCATTCAATATTAAACTTGCAGGAATTAAGGTCATTTCAACAAATAGAAAGGACTTCTACTCCATGATCAGTCCCAGGAACAGATTTATGTACCTATCAGCAAAAGCAAGAAAAGAGATGGGAATCAACTGTGGCAGTTTTAGTTAGATACATACTTCCACCAACTAAGCTTATTGTCAAGTCAATTGTCATTGTATTGGTATGAAATCAACTCAAATATTCTAGCAGCCATAAAAGAAGAATCTCTAGAGAGGCTTCTTGATATAGAGATCCATATATAGATCAAATCCAAATCCCAACCCGCCACCCCCATGTTATTGGTACCCAAATTCCTATGAATTTTTCTTCTTGATGATCTAAAAGGTATATCCTTTTCTTAAACTTTTTTTAGGAATGAGTGCTCCCTTGCCCTCTTGAAATCCACATGCCACAACGAGAAACACATTCCTCTTAGCTTCTCTAATGAGCTACTGTTCATCTGTCAACATCAATTTGGATTTTCCATACTGGTGGAGTAGAAGCTCTCTGGACACCACGCTTGAGAATTGTCTAGAGCATATAACTAGGGCTTCAAGTGATTATCTAAATGCTAATAAGGGGTTCAAAGTGAAATCATTATGGTTCATGAATTAGAAATACATATATATATATATATATATATATATATATATATATATCAGAATGATGGAGAACGCAAATAGAAGCCAATCCAATTCTGGTTTTGCGCTAAAAGCAAGCCTATGCAATTCTTTATCTTAATATTCCGTATGGTTTGAGTGAGAGTAAGACTACCACTAGAAAGGAAAACCAAGAGAAAATGCATAATCACTATCACTCCCTTTCCCATGGTTGACTCCACAAAATTACACCTGCAACTTGCTAAGCTTTATGACGTGAGACCCATTGATCAGTAATAATATTCCTAATATATATTTTGCTTTAACCAAAACATGCATCCATAACGTACTTCATATGCATACATCAGATATGTACAAAAACTGAGATGATTGAGATATGGGTACATTTGGTGGAGTTGAGAATGACATTTTTTAAAACATATCACACATAGGAGAAAGCATATTCACATTACATAAATAAAGAAGAGCATTGGGTGAGAGCTGCTTTTCAATGCGATTAGTAGTTAAGTTGCACTTAAAGAGGTTGTGGTGGGAAGCTGTTGGCATAGGCTTTTGCTTTTGATTTTGTTAAGTGGGTCATTTAAATCTCCATTGACTTCACCTGGCCTCTATTCTCTCCTTAGTGAGTGTGTTAGCCCAGAGCACATTTGTGTTTCTTAGGCCAAAGGAACCAACAAAAGGTCATATCTTAAGTAAAAAGTGCTTTGTTTTATATATCACAAGAAACAATTTACTAATAAAAAGGTGAAAATAAAAGAAAGATTATGGAGATAGTCACCTCCAGAGAAACTAAGTGGCATTTTGTTGAAGGAATCACCACGGACAATCCTCTTTCAAAGTGCTCCCAAGACTTTTTTCCCTAGAAAGAAGCTATTCTGTATACTGCAATGATATCATCAACAAACTTATTTTCCCTTACAAGGCATGACTACAGTGACATGATTTGCATGAATGTATTATGTCAATGCAACCTCCTCATCATGTACCCACACCATTATAATGTCATGAAATGTTGATTGCAATTAACTAAGAGCTACAAAAGTTGAAGATCCTCCCCATCTTCTGGCATTACATGCAGATCTTCTTACGGAAGATCATTTCATCATGCCATCTGGCCAATAATGTTGATGGAAGCATGAAGATCAAACAACTTCTTCACTTGCGATTCATGTGGTTGTATCATGTAAAGCATTATTGAAGCAATTTATTAAGAAATGATTGTAAGTTCATTGCTCTTTAACTTTTTATATGCATAAAGCCAATTTTTTAGGGTGGAAACGGAAGAGAAAAGTTGAAAACTAGAGGCCTCACCAAACCAATAGCTTTCCTTCTTTTTTTTTTTTTTGATAGGGATAGCTTTCCTTCTTAATAGTGATATAAATAAAATTCTTCAAATTATTCGGAAATCATGGGTGCGATTAGTGCTAGGGATGTCAAATATGCTGAGTATTTCTTGTGTGTTTGTGATTCAATATTTCTTCATAATTCCTACACCCTAGCATGATTATAATAAGAGTCCTTAAGTGGCTATCATTGTCATCAATATACCACACCTAGATTAATAGTACAATTAATGTAATTAGATCATGAGAATCTACAGAGTTTCCTGTTCAGGTTAAAGCATTATTTGTTACCAACTTTACATAATGGAGGCCATTAAAGTGCCCTAAAGCTGCAGTCATCTGTACTAACGTACCAAAGAAATTGTTTCTTAGCCTTTTCTGCTTCTTACCTTGCTAGCTTTCCTCTGCATTTTATTGGCTCTAAATATTTCCATGAACATGGCATGGTGAAATGAGAATCAAAAACAGTAGAAACCATAGAAAACTGACATGAAAAGTCCAAGAAACCACACATACAAAAAAACAGCCAGAACTTATGAAGTCAGCTTGTCCTATACTTTATCTCTTGCTTTTGTAAGATAGCAAGATAAAAACTTAACCCTTAATCTAATTAATTAAAAAATGTCTGCCATTAATGGGAAAGAGACCTATATATTGTTGAAGAATTTTCAAAATATTCCCAGGATTTAGGTTCGAACCACAAAAAGTTGGTTCGAAGCAATTGCACATAATGCATTTGAGAAAGTGTAACTTTGGTTCGAATCATAATTATATGATTCGAATCATTTACGAAAAATTAAAATCCGAAAACTTACGATTTTAGTTCGAACCACATTTTTCTGATTCGAACCATTTACGCCAGAATAAAAAGATAAAATTCAGATAAGTTTCTGAAGAGAGTGGATAACTTTGAAAGGCAACGAAACACGTGAGTTGAAATTCAAATCAAATCAAATGACTTTTGGAAAAGTTTCCAACAGATAAAAATTGAAAAGAAGTGTTTGTTCCCAATAGACATCTTGAAAAGAAAAGAAGTGTCTATTCCAAGAAACATCTTGCCCTATAAATATGGAGTTATCTCTTCTTCTCTGATAGAGTCTATTTGAACCCAAAAATATCTAAATAAAATAGCCCCTTTTTGTATTGCGATTGCTCGAGAAATCCCTAGACAAAAACTATTGTTTTGTCACTTTTCAAAGGATGGTTCACTGGTTGATCTTGCTAGTGCAAAGGCTAGATCAACAAGGCGCTTCATTGTATCCTATGGACATTTCGGGTTACCCCTTTTGCATACCAATTTGGTGGGGGCGAAATTAGCCTAAAAGCACGCCTTAAAGCCAATGATGTAATGATCTATTTTCTAACCCCCTATTTCTCCAACATATATCAATCCAACTTGCATAACAATACAAAAGGAAATGCATAAAATAACTCTTCCGTTTGCCACTTGCTGCCAAAATCTAATAATTTCTATCTCACATGCGTAGCCTTGCCAATGAAAAGTGATAAATATGCATTTATTTGCAAGGAAAACCTAAGCATTCAAATTAAAGCAGAGAGAGGAGAAAGTTTCATGCTTTGGATAGATAGAGCCATCAACTTCTCCCTTGTAAAAGACTTCAATGAGACAATATGCTGCTCTAACAAAAAAGGCAAAAGCTAAAGGAGTTAAATTCTCTGGCATAAGACATAACTTTGGGGGTGGACGGCATAGGGCTTATAAACATTACTTTTTGTTC